GGCGAGCCTGCTCAGCCAGGGCCTGTTCAGCGGGACGATTTAGGTGCCCCCTGGCGGTCCCCCAGCCAGCGTAATCTTGTTGCTCTGATCGACTTGGCCGCAGGCCGACAGCACGACCCTGAGGAGCCCTGCTATCGAACGCGAGTTGCTGCCCTCACGGCCACCTGTCCCAGTCAGCTGCGTCATCACCCTGATCACCCCAGGCAGGCTGCCTCTACCGGTGCCACGAGTACCCTCTTTGAGCTCAATAATTCCCTAGCGGTCGTTCAGGGCTGCAGTTTGACGCATTTCACTGACCCACAGGGCGGTTACAGCATACATCTGTAAATTCAAATTGTTCCTTTTCTGAGCCTGCTATTTTTTGTCCTTTACGGTTAAGAGTTGTATTTTTTTAATAAATGCCTTGTAAAAGCTTTCTCTTTTTTTATCCTGTCTTTTTGGCTCCGTTGAGGCTTTGTGCTTTGAATTTTCAGGAAAAGAGTAGGCCGAAGGCTTTTGACTGTTGGTGCTTTTATGACGGGCATCTATTACTTACCAGCTTGACTGTTTAATAGCTGGTGGGCGCAAATTGGTTTTCATTATGTCATGGTTTCAGCTTGTGTGGTGGTTTTGGTTAATTTCCTACTCAACCCAACAGTGTTCCCCTTGTTATTTTCTTATTCATGTGCTGTGGTTATATAACACCGCTCATCAGTCAAACATGTATCCGACTATCTCTTAATAATGCACCTCTTTCGGCGGCGCATAATGTATCTTAGTGGGCCCCTTGTTTGGATGTTTGCATTTTTACCGTTATTCTTTAGCCTGATACTTGGACTCTCGGGAATAGATGACAGATCTCACAATTACTACCAGAATAGATTATCCCTCGTTATCTTCCGAAGAGTCACTTTTATCTGACCTTCTAGACGTATAGATGATCGATAGATTGGCGAGTCACTTTAATCTATGCTTGTGAGTAAATAGCGTCGTAACGGGTTGGTCGTGTAGGTATAGCTTCAATGTAGAGTGCAGGGTGTATAGGCAAATAGTACTACCGGCATGGACAAGGGAAACTGGAAGGACCATTTCCAACTTATTGGCCGTCGTCAACCAGTCATATCCAGACACAAGCGGTGTCCCACCCGAGCCTCGATCTCGTGACCTCTTTGATCAGAGTCAAAAGCCCTTGAGCCACGAGCTCGTTGTCTTGCCGGTTTTAGGTAGAGGATATTGACACTCATTAATAAACGTTCACCCGATCGTTAACGGAACTCATCCGTCCCGCTCTGCCTAGGACCTCGACAGAGTCCCAGACAGCCATACCAGCTGGTAGTATTGGCAGTATGTGGGGTGTGTTCTGTATGAAGGTGTTTGTTGTCACCTGGTAAGTTGGCTTTGTGCGATCATTTGAGGTTTGTCTAGTGTTTACTCTGGTATACTCTCTCGTCGTTGCTAGATAATAGGTTGTGGCATGCGTCTAGAAACCTACTCTTATCTTTTAGGAATCTGCCTTCTTCGCCCCTGTGTGTACACTTTTTACTCACTCTTAATATCCACGCCTCTTCTCTACTTTATTTTCCCATTTCTTCTCATCTTTTTCCGTGGCCGCGTCCGTCGCCTGTTAAGTTGACTTGATAATTCCTCTCTATTTCATTCACTCAAATTTAGCCCCCGAATTAGTTTTTGTTGAAATGGTATTACCCACAAGACTGCCTGGATTTGTAGTCTTCTTCGTTATGAAAACCTACATTCTCCCCATTTCCTTGCAATAAATGCCCAAACTTCCTGCCTGTTTGTAGCTGCGCTAAGGGATAAGCAATTACCACTCCTTCCCTCTCCTGTGGAAGTTCGCTCTTCGTGACTCCTAAGCCTTTCCACTGGTAAGCATTGGGTCTCACTTGCTTCAGTGGCTCGTCTAAACCGGGGGTGATGAGTCTCACTGACGCCTGTCGTCGAAGGCTAAGCACCAGCCTGAACTACGGCCGTTACCCGGTGTACCCCTGGGTGAAACTTCCACAGTCAGTGCAGTACACGATCTGCACTCGTATTCTCCCCACCGCCTTGCCTTCCTTTGTACTCGTCACTGAAGACGGTGGTCAGGATACCTCAGGCTCCAGTTGGCGTCGCGTCCTGCTCTCATCCACCCCAGAAATCCCCGAAGAAATCTCCGCAGACCATGCAAGGATTGTTGTCTCACCTAACTCACCTATTGAGTAAGCCGTTAAAACCCGTTTTATGTTGTTCATACCAACAATCATCAGTAATTACCGTCTTGTTTTGCCTTTTTTGTATGCAAACGACTTATTTACCATGGTACTCCACTCCTGCATACGTGTGTCGAATTAGTACAAAGGATCTAATAAGGTATCTTCCGCCGCCGAAGTGACCTGTAAGACTTATAAGCGGAATTCTGCAACGTTTGTTTCAGATGGGGCCCCGTTTTTCTAGCGTATCGTTTACTCTGAACAGCAATATCTATGCGAGATTGGTGCATACTGTATAACCTCAACAATGGCCTGTTTTGTTATTGTTGGTGAAAAAAATGTAGCGGAGACCTAGTTTCTGTGAGCGACCGGAATAAAGAAACACCTTCAAATAACCCGTTAACGGTGTACAGGTAGAGAAAATGGGTTTCTCATGTATGAAGGTACTCCCTCTGATGTTCCTATCAAAGAAAACCCATTTTGTCCAGCCCTGGATTACACGAGACACAACTCCAGTATGCCTTCGTCTTTTCCACTGTATCACATCACCATAAAACGGGTCGTGTTCTAGATTCTCCAACTTTTTTTTACTACCAGAGTTTCCAACCTCTATTCTTCATTTGGCTGCATTCGTACTCTATTACAAAGTTGTATAACTTCCAATATTTCCGATACCTTTATGGATCCCCTCCCCCCAACGACATTAAGTGCCGCAATAACACTTCTATTCTACTTTCAAATTGCAACAGTCCCTTCTGCAATCTGCTTTGTTAGACAAACACAGCTTTTGCATATTGACAACGGGAATGAAACTGTGTTTGTAGATAGGCATCCAGGCGCAGAACTCTCTATTGTACTGTGTCTTGACGTTGAATAATAGCAGTGGATATCAGACTGTTCGCTGGTAAGCTTTCTGGTGTCCACTACCTGTAAATGCAAGCATGTAAACTTGGTGAAAATTAAAGGCCCCGTCATGACTGCACACCCCCCCCCATGCCTTCAAACCTCTCTAGCCTATCTGCAGCATCCCAGATTGGGTTTAAAGATTCTGATTTGATACTGCCTAGAAAGGTTTTACATAGTTCTTACTGCCGGCTTTTGTTCCAAAGCAGCTCCGCTGATCGACCTCGCCTGTTAGCCGTCTCTGCCAACCAGCTCGTAATGGCCATGAACGCACAAACCCGGCTCACCTTCAAGTCACCCTCGACTGTCGAGATATCCATTTGTTTGCCGGAGTCGGAGGATTCTACACTTTTGCTAAATTCCGCTGAAGACATACAGCCAGCTCACTCCTGGGAACCCTTTCTCTGGCAGTGTGGTCTCTGCGTTGCACAGTTTACAATTTGTGAGTTTAAACACTTCTTCGCTTCACACAGGTACACGTTTGGGGAAACGAAACACTTTGAGTCTAGCCTATTGAGATGGAAAATCACTCGGTTTACTTTTCAATACGGGCAGCTATCTTCTTTCTAAAACTTCCAAAGAGCTTCTATATTCCGCATGGTTTAAGACATCCTTTCATTCTCGTTCGATCACTCTTCCGCAGCTTACCATCTTTCTCAAAAGTGTTTCTTCAACTTCCGAACTGTATGTAAGCTGCACAAAGGCAGGTTTACAGACCAGCCCCACCCTATCATCATATTTCCAATCGCAACGAACATAACGGCGGGCCTGTGGCTCAGTAGTAGGGTGATACAGTCAATTACCAAAATTCGTGATTTCGAATCTTAGATGATTTCCGTCTTTGGATATGATTGACTGATGACGACTAATGAGCCAGAAATGGCCATTCCGGTATCCCTTGTCTTCTTCGGTTCCACTTCAGCATATCCTACAAGTCGCTATGCGAATGTCTACGAGGGCTCTAAGGTGATCTCCAAGGCACAACAGGACGTACATGTCTTTTAACCAGATCAGTGGACCACACTACCATAAATACAGGGTGTCCCCAAAAAATGTATACACATTTTGAACAATTGTAACTTTGAGGTTTATTTTAATTGTATTATTTCAAAAATGTAAAAGTGTTAAGCAGTATCATTTTATTGTTTTTCCACTGCATTTTCACTATA